AAAGATCTTATATCCCCAAACTTGCCCCTATGCTAAGAATTATGTGGCATATTTGTTAAATTGATTTCTAAGCCCTTTCCCTAGGATATAATATAGATTTCAATTCATCTGGTTTGGTACAGATCCTGGGAATCCGAATTATTAACCATATGTTAACATACGTGCCATATGTCTTTTTATATTCAGACAAGTTTTGGAAACAGCTAATTAAAACATGTATAGTTATTTGAAACATCAAACATACTTTTAATAGCCATCCATTGCTGCTTTGAAGGCTGTGATATGTATTCATAGAGATCTGAACACATATTTGTATGTGCTGGCTATAGCACTATTAATGTGCCAACAGCTTCTACATTGTATGTCTGTGTGGTCTAGTTAGCGTCACTCTGTTCCAAGAACAGATTATTCCCCATATCCTGATCAGCTGTCTCACAAAGTAAGTTATTGGTTGCAGAGAACTGAGAGTTCCTGAATTGAAAAATTCAAATCATGAAAAATGTTATCTTATTGTTAGGAAAAATCTAAAAGCATTTAAAAACCACTACTATACAATTTCATGGTGTAAAATTACGTTAAATAAATAGAAATCCCTAAGTGTAATCATGACTTTTGGGTAAACTTAAGTATAACTTACATATAGAAAAATGCTTGAATCATGTGTGTGAATTTTTATAAAAAATGAACATATCATGTAAGAACTGATGTTAAGAACCAAAATATTGGGCTTCCCTTGTGGCGCAAGGGTTTAAGTCTCAGCACTATGAAGCTATCAGCAGCCACTGCGGCATGAGTTCAATCCCAGGCCAGGGAAAAGCAGACCGCTCCTGTTTCTCCTGCTGCTCCCCTCAGCAGTGTATCTCAGTAGATTCACCCGTTCTGCTCCCCTCCCTGTCTCTGGTGAATTCTCTCACCACCCTCCCACCTTTGGCCTACACCCCAGCTCTTGTACGCATAAATAAATAAATCTTAAAAATAAAGAACCAAAATATTAACAATACCCCAGAAGCCCCCAAATACCAGCCTTCTATTGTCAACACACATTTCCCCACCATGTAAAGCTGCTGTCCTCACTTCATATACCACACTAGCTTTATGCTTTTAAATTCTATGTAAGTGGAGTAGTACAACACATATTATTTTGCTTGATTTCTTCTACTAAACATTGTGAGATCCATGCAGGTTGTTGCATTAACTCTCATTTCTGTATAGTATTTCATTATGTAAATATACTACAATTTACTTATCCTTCCAAACTACCACTTAGGTAATTTTCAGTTTGGGACTACTACAAGTAGTGCTGCTATGAACATTTTGGTTTGTTTTTGGTAGACATATATGTATGTATATGCATTGTGTATAGATAGTCCTACAGAATGGGTTCCTGTGCCATTATGTAGCAGAATCCCCTCCATTTTGCAAAAAATTAAAGAAACCTTCCTATCTTAACTAACAAACAGGAATATCGTGACCTAGTGGTCTTGCTACCTAAAACACCTCTTCAAAAGACAACAAGAGAGGGTGTCTCTGGTGGCGCAACGGGTTAAGTCTCAACACAGTGGAGCAATCGTAGCCACTGCTGCACAAGTTCCTGCAGTACCCGCAGCATTAGTTCGATACCTGGCCAGGGAGCTAACCCACAAGGCACAACAGACTTCTCCTGTCTCATCCACTGCTCCCCTCAGCAGTGTATTTCAGTCAATCTGCCTATTCTTTTTTTTTTTTTTTTTTAAACATTTATTTATTTTATTTATTTATACAAGCACTGGGTACAGTCGGAATCGCGGGAGGGTGAGAGAATTCACCAGAGCCAGAGCGGGGAGCAGAGCAGGCAGAAGGACCGAAGTACACTGCTGAGGGGAGCAGCGGGCGGCAGGAGAGGTCTGCGCGCCATGTGGGACCCTCCTCTGGTGGCCGGGGAGCAGCTGGGGATCGAACCGGCACTGCAGAGGCTGCGGGCAGCTTCGCAACCCAGCGCTCAACCGCTGCGCCACGGGGGAGGCCCAATCTGCCTATTCTGTTCCCCACTCTGTCTCAGGTGAATCTCTCACCTTCCCTCACCGCCCCCTCCCCCCACCTCTGGCCTATACCCCAGCTCTTGTATGCATAAATAAATAAAACAAATCTTTTTTAAAAAAGCAAAAGACAATGAAAGAGGACCGCTGACCACAGTCATCCAAAAAATAAGTGAGGGGCAATCAAGACCCTAAACTGAATTACCATACTAATTCTTTTTCCTTCTTTTAATTTCTAGCTACTCTTTTCTCTTCCTCCAATAGATCTTTTGAAAAAATCTACCATAAGATTCCTCCTAATTGTTACCTCCTTATTGCTGCCCAAGGGGAAACTTTGTGGGTAGTATCATAATTGTTCCCTTGAGTAGCACAAAATTATGCTTTCATCAAAATGTATCACTTCCTCACCAACACTGGGTACTGTGTCCTGTTTTAGTTTTTCTAGTGACTATGAAAAGGTGTCGTATTATAATTTTAATATGCATTTCCCTATTGACTAGAAGCTAAGCATGTTTTTCAAATATGGCCATTTTTCAAGATGCCTGTTCACATCTTAAATACACACATCTTAATCACACATCTTAATAGTTAAATAACTATTAAGATCTTTGACATTTTTGTTTTTACTTGCAGTTCTTTATATTCTGGAGACATGTCCTTTGTGAGACATTTATTATTGATATTCTTGTTCTTCCCCTATTTAAAGACTTCTATGTAATTTTGGTGAAAATGGTTATTTCTAGAATCACCTTCCTAAATTCTGTTTATCTTTTCCCTTCTTAAAATGAGCAAGTTATCACATGCTCATGACCACTTTGTCTAGTCATTTCTACCCTACTTTTTCTCTGGTCATTTTATCTGACTTAGTCAATATTTCTTGGTTCTGTCTGAAAAGTATACACATGTGAACTATACACAGAATGATCAGGTGCTGTTAAAAAGGAGACAGGTCCAAAGTTAAATTACTTGTGCTAAGTCCCAGGGCATCAAACCAATTTAGCAACTAAGTTAACTTCGTTTCAACCTCTCCCAGCAGTGGAATTTTTAACCAATCAGTCTGGAATTTCCTGATCAGCACTAGTCAGATAATCTGCCAGCCTGATAGGGAGCCCCTGGCTTCGCCTAAGGGAAGGTAAGCTGACCTGAAACAATCCTTTCTTTAGCTAAAAACCACCGAGTCCTACCCTCTTTAGGTTCATAAGAAATCTTCCATTGTGTACAACTCCTCTGGAGTGCCTTTCTACTTGCTAAACAGGGCATTGCTCAATTCATGAAGTTTAATAGAATGGATTGGATCCTCAAATTTATCAGATTATATTTGTTTTTTTAACAGTGCAGATACACTAGAAATCTGGAGGACTAAATTCTATACTAAGTAGCTGTAAATTAGTTAGCCTTGATGGACTTCAATTTCCTTTTCAGAGTGGAATAATCAAAATATCCCATGGGCCTCCCAAGTGGAACAGCAGCTTGAACGCAGAGCTGCAAAGTTATCTGCAACTTCTGCAGCGAGGGTATGATCCCCAGCCAGCCAGGGAGATACCCACATGGCGCAGCAGACCTCTCCTGTCTAGCCCGCTGCTCCCCTCAGCAGTGCTTTCGGTCAGTCTGCCTGTTCTGCTCCCCACTCTGTCTCTGGTGAATCCTCTCACCCTCCTGCGCCTCTGGCCTATACGCCAGCTCTTGTATAAATAAAATAAATCTTAAAAAAAAAAAAAAATTCCTTAATCTAGGAAACTGCATTACTTTCAGGAGCATTAAACCCCATAACCATAATTGGTGTATTCTCTACTGTTAAAAACAAAACAAACCCCCTCCCCCCAAATCTATTTTAAAGTCTCCAGCTCCTTTTACATGTGTCTTCTTCCTTGTAGTGTGATCTTTCAATTGACTGAATAGTCATTTTTTCTTGGGTACTTTAGAAGCCCTGAAGCAGTTGCTAGTAGTCTCCCCCATAAAACTTGTCATGACTGCTGTATCAGAGCATACCAGGTGGACCTCAACTATCCACACTTCAATCTCTTGGCAAAGGATTTTCTGTGGCCACCAGTGCCCAATATATCTATTTGCATATGCTGAACATTGACTCTCCCAGCCTTTTTGGAATAGCCTTCAAAGTTTGATTGGCAGGAGTTAGTTATCAATCACTGATGAAGTAACTCTAATTCCCTTGTATCCTAGATGGAAAACCAAGTACATGATCTTCACTTGCTTCCAGAACTCTCCAGCAGGATTTGTGCTCAATAGTCCAGAGGGATTTTGGGGCTTCCTTCAATTCCATCTCCATTTTCTACCCTCCCTGGTGTTTCCTAGGCTCATGTTCCAAATAAATTATCTGCACTCAAACACTTGTCTCAGAGTCAACTTTTGGGGGAACTCAAAATAAGAGGAAACTCTTAGAGCAACTTCAGTGGCATTTTGTCACACCCTACTTGGGAAAGTAAGTTCTTTCTTGTACTATTATATTGTAACAATATATTAAAAATAATAGCCTAAAAACAATAATCGGATATTACCAAGTTGACTAAAAATTACCCAAACATCCTATAGTGATTAAGATCTCCTGTGAATTTTTAAGTATTTCTTTTTATAAACTTGACTGATAGTAATATAGAGTTGTTCATCCCAAAGTACTTCTTTATTTTTTGGAGATTGTTAAACATACATTTAAGTAAATAAATATTCTCTCTGTAACATGTTGCCATCTTGGATCTTAAATAATTTAACTTGAAAAATCATGAGTTACAAGGCTTTAGTTCATTTGTCAAAAACAGAGATGGGTATGACTCACTTATCTCCTTTAACTTAGAAGCATAATTTTGGAAATCATTTGATTTTTCCATTTAAGGTAATATTTAGAATGGCATGAGATTCTGTGTACTATATTTTCCAATCATAGTGTTTATCATTATAAATGTTTTACAATCTACAATGAAGACCATTGTTCAATTACATAATTTTTAGTGACAATTTATAAAGAATGGGAAAAATTTTTAAATGTAAAAGTTCATACTGAAAACAGTAAGTCAAAATGTAAAGCAGCATGTTTTCTAGTAGTTCTTTCCAGGTACACAAAAAGGAAAAATGTTAATTTAAATCCACTTTTTATTCTTTCATAGATTTTAACAATTATACACAACTTTTAACATAAAGATAGTGAAATCTCAAGGATATGAGGCAATATATATGGCCTCTACTATTCATTCTTCAGGATGGAAGGAAATTTCCAAAGGGTACAATGTGTGAGATTTAACACTGGAAAAATACATATGAAACTTATTTAACTGGCTCCACTTAGGACCAGGCACAGCACAATAAATATAGAACTGCATCATCTTTTTAAAAGATTGTTGTAATTTTACCACATTCTCACTAAAGAAATACGATCAGCGACCAGTCTGAAATTTTACAAAACAAAGGTGAAAGGGACATTTATGATGAATATCTGAGCATAGTTTCTCTAGCATCTTCACACCCATACATCAACATTCTTAAAAAGGAGTGAGAATGTACAATAAAAATTCAAAATAACAAAAAACAAACTTGGTCAAACTTTATCATATCATTCATTACTAACACAATCCTACTTTGCTGGTAGGGTCTTCAGGTAGGAACAGAAAGCTTTTGAAATTCTTTTAATTTCCACTGGTCCTAGGGCTTCTGGGTAGGAAGCCACACTGGAAGCAAACTGATTAAAGCAGCACCATTAAGTCCACATCTCAACAAATCATCGCATAATTCTTCCAATATTCTGAAAGGTTAAAAAAAGAACATGCAATCTGCAAGGGTTTAAACAAACTGTAGCTGAATTCCCTACTGATTGCATCTTTAACAGATGGTAAAGTACTTTAACAGTACTGACTGACCATAAAAGACCAAAAGAAATACATTACCTAAAAATTTAAATAACAACATATTTGAGGCATACAATAAATACTCTACTTAGGCTATTACATTTGGGTATTTGAGATCTTTAGACATGTTCATATATCCTTTCCTCTTCCCCACGAGGGAGCAATGGTGCCAGACTATTGTCTAGAAAGAGTTAATGGGAAACTGTTGCTCTCAGAGTTGTTCTGCAGTGTGCCTTCTTCCGCAAACACAGAAATTATTTTAAAACATATACTTAAGGATGAAATGATCTTTTCCCCCAGTTTCTGTTATTAGCAGATGCAAGATTTAATTTCGTCCTTGAAAACAGAATAGAAACTGTAATGTTGCTAAGGCTATAGATATTCTGAGAAATCTTTCGAGCCAATGAATCAAAAACTACATGAAGGTGCTATTTTCTGTAACTGGTAAAGTTAAAAATTTTGTCAAAAATTCGACAAAGAAACATACAAAGATGTGACACATGTCATTATCTTGTAAAAACATAATGCCACTATGGACCTAAGAATCACTACAGCCCAACTTATCCTTAAAGGTGCCAACAGTCTTCAACCACTACTAAATATCTTCTCGGTGACATTTTACTGCCCATCCCACTGCCACATGATTCTGAGAAGTTTAGGCTACTAAGATGTTTGAGGAAAAGAAAGAGGGTGTGATATGGATCAAGTTCTTGATGCTTGTTTTAAATATAATTAAAAAAAAAAAAGAATTTCCAAGTAATGGGGCAGAATAACATTCCTTGATACTGAATTTTTCCTAGTGAAATAAAACATGCTTTAATTCGATGATGTCAATCTAAATTTGACTGCCTGGTTCCTTTTTTCACTTTTTAAGAGGGTAGTGAGTCATACATCATGCTGAGTCCCACAAAGGCCTGTTTTGAAAACAGTAGGTTCCCAACAGTTTCCCATAAATATTCCTGATTTACACTGGAGGGAGTAATACATAAACATTCATGTTTAAAAAAGAAACGAAATAGTTACTTAGCAAAATGCTAAGCTACAAATAACCTTACCATGTAGATATTGAGTCATTTCACAGAGTACCTATCAAAAATGTATGGAAATCTGGCCTTCCATTCCAAATGCATTGCAAAGAGAGTACATGCAGTAGTCCTGTTTACAATTTAATGGTGATGAGGAAAGGGCAAACCAAGGACAAGGAGGGATGTCACCATACATACAAGTTTACAGTAGTGTAGCCATTGCATATCATATTTACTACATTCACCACTTCAGATAAAGGATTAGGGAGGTCCTTCAAACACGTGTACAAAGGAATGTTTGCTTTATATAAGACTTGTCAAATAAACAGGGTAACAAATGATAACACACATAGGCACTAATCTCAAAGCTGCACAATAAAGAAGCAAAGGGTTTGAGATGAGAAATTTAGGAAAATGTACACATAGGAACTTTGCTCAGGAAAAGGAGGAAAGAAATCACAGTTCTAATCTTCAAGGCTACGGAATGCATTCTGCATATCTTCAAGGAGTTGTGCGTAGTCGGCCTTGATCTTAGCCTCACCATCTTTCACTGGATCCTGAAAAAGTCATTACAGAATTCAAGTTACCTTTGGAAAAAATTTCCAGAACATGGAATTGGAAAATACTATTCTCTGGCCAACAAATACTACTACAGAAGAACACTTAATGACATTTAAAACAAAAAACAAAAAACCACACTTGGGCCTCCCCTGGTGGTGCAGCGGTTGAGCGCTGGGCTGCGAAGCTGCCCACAGCCTCTGCAGTGCCGGTTCAATCCCTGGCAAGGGTCCCACATGGCGCGCAGACCTCTCCTGCCGTGCCCGTTGCTCCCCTCAGCAGTGTACCTCGCTCCTTCTGCCTATTCTGCTCCCGGCTCTGGCTCTGGTGAATTCTCTCACCCTCCCGCACTTCTGACTGTACCCAGTGCTTGTATAAATAAATAAATAAATATTAAAAACTCTATGAAAATGGTTATCTTAAAAAAAACACACACAAAAACTGTTGTTAACTTGAAAATAAAACACATGTAAATAGAAAAAAGATATCTTTAATCATCAATCAGAAATCATTATTATTATATCATTACTACTTATATATTTTTCTTCTTGCTACGAGTATAAAATTTTTAAAATTAAAATTTGGATCAAATTTCTTTTTTTTTTTCCATATCCAAAAGGGCAGGTTTATTATAAAAGGAAGAGAAGAATAAAGGACACTTGCATAGACACAAAGGGGTAGAATGGGTTGCCCAGAAAGGGACAGGTTTGCTAAGAGAGGCCTACATGGTGGTAGGCAGGCGGCCTTGAGAGCTGCCTCTGCTGAGGGAGGTCAGTGGAGAGAAGCCCCGGAATGGTAAAGGGCACGGGCAGGCAAGAAGGCTGCTGCCCTGCGGAGGGACAGAGAGTTAGCAAAAAGGAACACCTACAAAGGCACAGGTTTGCAAACTGTTGTTTGGTTTTTTTTTTCACTCATTATACTATAAGCATTACCTCATGTCTTTGGGAAAAATTTGGTAATGTCTTCATAATATCCTTATTTTTTTTTAAAGATTTATTTATTTATTTATACAAGCAGTACAGTCAGAAGCGTGGGAAGTTGAGAGAATTCACCAGAGCCAGAGTGGAAAGAGAACAGACAGACTGATGAAATACACTGCTGAGGGGAGCAGCGGGTCTGTCGCGCCATGTGGGATCCTCACTGGTGGCCGGGGATCGAACTGGTGCTGCAGAGGCTTCGGGAAGCAGCTTCGCAGCCCAGCGCTCAACCGCTGCGCCACCAGGGGAGGCCTATAATATTCTTATCATAATATACTACTGTCTATGGCAGCCTCCCTGGTGGTGCAAGGGGTTAAGCACTACACTATGAAGCAATCCCCAGCCTCTGCAGCATGAGTTCGATCCCCTGCCAGCCAGGGAGAAACCCACATGGCGAGGCAGACCTCTCCTGTTCACCCACTGCTCCCCTCAGCAGTGTATTTCAGTCAATCTGCTTGTTCTGTTCACCACTCTGTCTCTGGTGGATCCTCTCATCCCCCACATCTCTGGCCGGTGCCCCAGCTCTTGAATAAATCTTTAAAAAAAAAATACTACCAACTATGGTTACTCTGTATGACATTTAAGAAGTTTAATAAATATTCTTTTACACAAATCCACATCAAAAATCTCTGGTTATTTCCTTGGGTTATATGTTTTGAATGGAATGACTAGGCTCAAAGGATGTGAATATTTAAAAAATTTTGATTTAAATTTTTGCATTTATTTTAATATTTATATACATTTTGTACAAACTTACTTTCAACCTGTAATGTAAACAAATGCTGTATGTTATATAAAAAAATGCACATTCAGAGAATCAGTCTCAATTTCTCAATAGATTTGTAAATACACTGGAATGTCATGACTTAGAAATAAATGCAACTGATCAAATATTGTAAAAACAACCCTACACATTCCAGTTTCTGCTGATAATGTCATTTAATTATCTGTTTATGTCTTGCATACTTCCAAAAGAATGAATGTCTGCTGAAAATTTAAAATGGCGTGTGATACAATATTTAGAAAAAGTAAACAGCAGAAGTCATATCACACTAATACAGTAGCTAGATGTTACTGGGAACCTGAGGTAAGGTAATTGCTGCTCAGCAATGATTTTAGCTCTAAATTGCCTAGCAGCTAAGACAAAAGGGAAAATGTCAGCATTTATTTCAGACGTGACACACTAACATCACTAGAATTCCTATTTGAAGATAACTTTGAGGTTTGGTCTGGTTTTACATAATCTGAGAAAGTACGAAAATGATAAATCCAAGTTTCACACACAGGCTGGACAAAAAAACATATTTTACTTAAAAAAATTACAATAGAAACAAAATATACCTTGAATTTCATGGAGGAAAGTTTATAGAGGATTTCCCCCATGTGCTCACGGATAATGGACCATGTGATTTTATTGTCACTCTGGGCAGTGGTTTCAACAGCTCTACGGGCCATATCATAAAATGCAATCATGTTGGAGAGCATTCCTACTGTCTTGTAGAAAGGGCAGAACCTATGGTAAATAAAAATCAAAATAATTAATGTGGTCATTTTCACCCACCCATACTAACTAATAATGAAGACACACAAGCAAATTGCAACAAGTTTCTGTTACAGATTTTTGAGACTTAGTGATTATTATATTGTCATATTTTCTGTTCATCCTACATTCTTGTAATACATTTGTCCAGATATCATTTTAGGAACCAAAACCAAAACTATTTTAGTTTTTTATGGAACCAAATATGACTTGAGGGAGAAAAGCAATCCTGTGATGGAAGAACTTAAATTATCAAAGTTTAAAAGAATGGAAATTTTGGGCCTCCCTGGCGGCCTAGAGGTTAAGTCTCAGTGTTATCACTGTTGCAGCCCAAGTTCGATCTCTGGCCAGGGAGCTAACCCACTAAGGTTCAGCAGACCTCTCCTGTCTCGCCCACTGCTCCCTTCAGCAGTGTATTTCAGTCAGTCTGCCTGTTCTGCTCCCCACTCTGTTTCTGGTGAATCTTCTCACTCCCTGCACCTCTGGCTCACACCCCAGTTCTTATACACAATAATATATAAATAAAATCTTTTAAAAGAAATGGAAATTTTTTATAATAAAGTAAAAATCAAAATCAACAGGCAACTATAAAACAGAGACACACTACGGGGGGGAGAAGGGAGTAGGATCAAAACAAGGGGGGGTGGGAATTTTACAGGGATGATAACCAAGATGAAAATGCATACATTGTACAAAAACGAAAAATGACGTAAAAAATATATAAAATAAATATTTAAAAAAAAGAAATGGAAATTTTAAATAAACCATGGTAATAATATAGACAATAATGGCAAACAAAACAAACATGGAACAGCAGTAGCAGGGGTCAATGGGGGTGTCTAATAGGGACTTTGGTAGAAACAAGAAAAAAGGGCATCTTGGGAAACGTAGCAGGAAAGTGGCACACATTTATTTAATAAAAGAGGCATGCATAGTAGTAAGGAGGAGGGAGAAAAGCTTCTGGAGGCAATGATCCTAGGTTCTACACATTAGGCCACAATTTAATCCAGTTAAAGATGATTGGACCATGAGTGCAAAGGCCATAACTGGACAAATGAATAAAATCAAGACAAGGGGCCAAGTTAGATTACTACAAATCTGCTATAAAAATACAAAATAAACCTAGATGTTTGATCACACTGTGTCTATATGAAGGGGGGGAAAAGGTTTTTAATGTGTAGGTAGCACCTTCTTCAAAACTCTATAGAAAATATTCAAATAAAAAAATAGGATATCTTACCTGTCATAAGGAGTATATCCATTTTGTTGTAGGAAATCATCCTTGATAAGTTTTGCAACCTCCAGAGTGATTTTATCTGTTTCTGCTAGTGAAGCCTGGAGGAGAAAAAAAAAATATCTTTAGCAATTTACTTCTACAATGCAGGACCAATAGCCCCACAGTTAGTTACAATCAACTAGCAAGAAGAAACCATATCATCAGCACAACTTCCATCACCTATCATTAATAAATTAACTTTGTAACTGCCTTTTGAAGTTCTTCTTTTTATCATTATAAAAAAAGTAACTTAAAATTTGCTATCTTAACCATTGAGTGTAGTTGTTGTGAAACAGACTGCCGTAACTTTTTTATCTTGCAAATCTAAAATGCTACACCCATGAAATAACAGCTCTCCTTTTTGCCCTCCCTCTAATTCCTTTTCTATGAATTTGACTACTTTAGATTAGTGAAATTATACAGCATTTTTCCTATTGTGACAAACTAACTTCACTTGACATAATGTCCTGAAAGTTTAGCCATGTTGCAGCATATGTTAGAATTTCCCTTCCCTTGTAAGGTTGAATATTCTTCTGTGTGTGTGTGTGTACTCCATTTTGTTTACCCATTTCTCTAGCAAAGGACAACATTTGGATTACTTCTACCTCTTAGACACTGCAAATAATGCTGCTATGAACACAATGCACAAATAGACATTCCTTTTTTGAAACACTTTATCCTTCACATCCTACTCTGTCATCTTATTTAAATTCTCAGTCTTAAGTTTATTTCACAGGTTCTATATAGCCCATGAACAGTTAATTTTCTCTCAATATCATGCAGTGTTAAAACTATGTAAATGCAAAGTAATAGCAAGCATGCTCTTATCTATGTCTGAGTGCTATTTTATTGGTATTGCTGTTATAGAGCTTCACTCTTTAAACATCAATGCCTCAAAAGCTTTAGCAGCCTCGAGAGATAATACCATTGCACTGTTGCTAGGATCACGAGGAGTGAAGATTTCTTGGGAGCTGTGGGAAAGGGAGAGGCCCAGCAACTTAACAGCAGCCACATGTTACCTATGCTCCTGTGCTCTAAGCTCTTTAGAGATAAGGATCAAGACTTCTATTTCCTTTCTTTCTTTTTTTAATCTTTTATGCCTAAACCCCTCTTCAACCACAAGAAATATTAAAATATTTTATGGGTATCCTTTTATTTGCATAAGCTCATGAAATAAGTGTATTTTCATTTGTACTATTATTTTTAATTATATAAAGCAGTTTTACGTGTGGTCTTCAGCACATTGTTTTTAAGATCCTTCCTTGTTGCTCTGTGTCACACAGTCTGCTGCTGCCAGCTCATTTGCACTTTGTTCCATGTACGCCCCTTCCCTATTTTTGTCTTCCATCTTTTGTCCTCAGTAAAGATACTTAGATTTTTTCTAACTCCTTGCCACCACAAACACATCCATTTAAAAGACCTGTTTGAGAATTTCTTTTGCACTGAATATTCAAAAATAGAACTGCTAAGTCACAGGGTGTACAAGCAAGTTCTCTCAGACTGCTCTCCACAGTCAGCACTAAATGACACAGCCACCAAGGGAGTACCAGCTCTCTATCACCACCTGACCGGGTGTAGGCCAGTTTTCTAATATTTGCCATTCTAACCAGTATAACATTGTATCTCATTGTTGCAAGAGTACTTCTCCACAAGCTTATAAATCTTTTGTGTTTCTTCTGTATGATCTGTCTGCTCTTTCCTTTGCCTATATTTCTGTTTGGGTTCTAATCTTCTCATTAATTTATAGTTCTTTGTACATTTAGTCCATATGTTTTAGATTTTGTGAACTTCTCCCAATAGGTCATCTGTTACCTTTATCCATGGTAGCTTTTGTTAAACAAAAAATTCTTGCTTTTTAGTGAAATAAAAAAAAATTGTTGTTTGTGCATGTGGGAGTTTGTTTGTCTGTTTTCAACCCCTAAGTCAAGAAGATATTTGTTTCCTATTAACTTGAAAGTCTTACCTTTTATACTTAAACTGCTAATGTAGCTGAAGTCTGCCCTTGTATGAGATTCAGTTTTATTTTTCTCCAAATAGTAAATGGTTTTCCATCATCATTAACTGAAACAATCCACCCTCCCTCATTTAAACAGTGGTATCATCTTAACCATGTCAAAGATTCTTATATAATCTATTTCTATTCAATTCCAACAATATATTTGTTATTTCACCAATACCACATTGTTCTTATTATTATGGTTTTGTACTGATATTCAATAAAGGAAATTCCCCTCTTTACTACTTTTAAGGCTGTGCATTCTTGTGATATCCTAGTATTTTAGAATGATTATTGATTTGCTCAAAAGTTTCCACTGGAAATTTGACTATTACCATAGTTGGTATTGCTAATAAGGAGAAATTCTGATTTTTTTATACTTATTTTGGATTTAGAGCCTTCACCAAACTCTTACTAATTCTAATTGTTTCTCTGTTATTTCTGTTATTTTCTCATTATATGAACACATTTTCTATAATGATACTTTAATTTCTTCCTTTATAACTTTATTTTTTTCTTCTCTTATATCATTGATTAGGATTTCTAATCTTAGGCTGAACATAAGCAGAGATAGTAACAAGCATTCTGATCTCATTCATGATTTTTAAATGGAATGCACTGGAAAATTTTCCATTAACTACAATATTTTCAGTGTATTTCTTTTAACAAATCAAAGAAGGGAAGTTCCTTCCTATTCCTTGTTTGCTAAGAGATTTTTTAAAAAATCACAGGTACAATACAAAGTAAAAATCAAAATCAACAAGCAACTATAAACCAGAGACACACTACAGGGTGGGGGCGGGGGGAAGGAAGGACTAGAGTCAAAATAAGGGGATGGGGGTGCATCTGTATGGGGAATATAACCAAAATGAAAATGCATACATTGTGCAAAGATGAAAAAAGATGTAAGAATTATATAAAATAAAATATTTAAATAAAATTTTAAAAAAGGAAAAAAAATAAAAATTTTGACAGCTGAAAATTCTTGGATGAATGGTATTCTCCCAATGCACAGCTAAGAATTATTCGGTTCATCAATACTAAGTGCACGATACTAGGTCTGGATCATTATCTTTCAAAGTTTATTACGTGGCCATAGAAATACAGGCAAAGACTTAGCATTGTATATCTGCATATAATCTTCACCCAATAAATAAAAGCACTGCTCATGATTTACAATAATAAAAAAAAAAACACAGGTAATTAACTTCAAATATCTTTTCCATATTGGGTAAGATATTATTTTTCCATTTATTAATTACATCAATGAGTTACAATAACAAATTTTGTGTTGAATCATATGTATATTTCTGAGATAAACTTTACTTGCTCATCATGTATCATTTTATTATTTTTCATATTCTGTAGGATCTAGTAAACTATTATTTAACTTAGGATTTTAATACCTCTATTCATAAACAAAATTAACACCAAATTTTCTATTCCTGAATTGCCTCTGTCTGGTTTTGGAGGTCTTCTATTTCTTGTTCCTCTTGTGCCACAGTCATTTATAAATAATGAGTATTTACTACATCACTAACCATCTAATAAAATCCTTTGTTGAAAAAAATTAGGAGGTGACTTTGTAAGACATAATAAATAGAACCAGGTAGAGGACTCTGAGAGTCCTGACTAGCAATGTACAGTATCTAAGAAGTCATTCAATACTGGAATTTAATTTGACTACATTTAATTACAATATCCTCCTTTGAAACTTCAAGAAACAGAAGAATGTAAGTCACTTGTTTCAGCTCACACAGCTGTTTAGTGGAAGAATCAGAACTAGAATCCTGACTCCTAGTCCTGGTACTCCTGCAAAAATACATGACAGTTGATCTTTAGTCTATCACCTCAAATTTGCTTAGTATTGGGTACATTCTACCTCAAGAAATAAAAGTAAACCAAGTGTTTTTTTTTTTTTTTCTTTTACAACAAAGCGAGGTAATGTTCAGTGTTGTAAAGGATCAAAAAATAAAGTTCCTAACAGTTTAGTTACTTCTTTTAATTAATCACTGTGAAGTATAACTCCTTGACCCTGGGCAAGTTTTGTGGCTGCTTTGACCAAAACAATAAGACAGAGTGATACAGTATCAGTTTTGGAGCCCAGACATAACAGGCTGGTAGTTTCCACTCCCTTTCTTTCTTAACATTCACTCTGAGAGTCTTGACCTCTGATGTGAAAATACCACAGAGAGACAACATCTAGCCAACCACTAGTTATTCACTTAGTCTAGCTCAGGTACCAGACATATGAGGGAAGAAAACTTTTAGATGACTCCAGCCTCAGTCACGACATAACTGCCACTTATGAGGGAGGGGCCCCTAAGCAAGAATGTGCAATTGAGCTCATCAACTCTAAAACCAAGAGCATTAAAACACTATTTAAGCCATTAAGTGCTAGAGTGGCTTGTTGTTCAATAACAGATCAAACAATAATCATCTTTCTACCTTCAATAACACTAATAAGTCTCTCAAATATGTAGATAAAAGAATAATCTAAAATTTTGTCAGTTTAAAAAATATTTAATACTCATTTTGCAAGGCAAGAATCTACATATCCAAATTTCTATCTGTCCTTAAAAATAAGTCAGTGTGAATTTGCTTGAAAAAAGATGTAAGAATTATATAAAATAAAATATTTAAATTAAAAAAAAAGTCAGTGTGGGATTTAATAACTCACTTTTCCCACAAGCTGCACAATTTCTGCCAGGTCTTCTTCTTCCTGCAAAATCTCTTTGGCTTTAGTCCTCAGAGGAACAAACTCTGTGAAGTGTTTGTCATAGTACTCATCCAAGGCACGCATGTACTTGCTGTAGCTGATAAGCCAGTTGACAGAGGGGAAATGCTTACGCTGAGCTAGTTTCTTATCTAAGCCCCAGAACACCTGATTTAAAAACAAAACACAAAGATTTAAAAAAAAATGTATTAAGGTATACATGATACTAAATATATAATTCTATAAATTTTGGCAAATTAAATTTTAGTATATACCAAGTGCAACTGAAATGTAAAAAACTTATAGTTAAAAACGTATTCCTTTCAATTTCAGGGTAGGCAGTATTTATAAATAAGATCAAACATGTTCTGAATTTCCTTAATAATGTATCAAATCTGATAAGAAAAATTAAGAATCTTTTGAAGATTATTATAGTCCAATATAAGCAGATGAGCCAGAAAATGTCTTATTGAGATAGAATAGACACTGATTGGGCCTCGCTGGTGGCACAGACGGGTGAGCACAGCGCTGTGAAGCTGTCCACAGCCTCTGCAGTGTCAGTTTGATCCCTGCTGGCCTCGGAGCAACCTGCATGGTGAGCAGACCTCTCCTTTCTTGCCCGCTGCTCCCCTCAGCAGTGTATTTCGTCAGTCTGCCTGTTCTATTCCCCCTCTGTCTCTGGTGAATCCTCTCACCCTCCTGAGCATCTGGCCTGTACCCTGGCTCTTGTATAAATAAAATAAATCTTAAAAAAAAAAAAAAAGGAATAGACACTGATTAAAAGCCTCTAAATATTGTGACTAAATTCAGTCCCTATTATTAGGGCCTATCCAATAAGATCTGAAAGACGTTTTTCTGAAGTCACACATTCACCTATATTTTATCCATTTTTAATTTTGTTCCCCTTTCTCTGCAATTTAAAACGGAAAAATTTAGGGCCTCCCTGGTGGCGCAAGGGGTTAAGACGCAAGGTATGAAGCTATCCACAGCTTCTGCAGCATGAGTTCGATCTCCGGCCAGGGAGCTACCCACATAGAGCAGCAGACCTCTCCTGACTTGCCTGCTGTTCCCCTCTAGCAGTGTATTTCAGTCAATCTGCCAGTTCTGTTCCCCGCTCTGTCTCTGGTGAACCCTCTCACCCCCCCGCACTTCTGGCCTGTTACCCAGTTCCAGTATGCATAAATAAATAAATCTTTTAAAAAAAAAATTTAAAAAATTTAACAAAGTTTAAAGAACTTGAGAATTATAATTTTATAAATTTAGCTCCCACAATTTTTTTTTATTATTTTATTTATTTTTTAAAAAGATTTATTTATTTATTTATACAAGCACTGGGTGCAGTCAGAAGCGCAGGAGGGTGAGAGAATTCACCAGAGCCAGAGCGGGGAACAGAACAGGCAGACTGACAAAGAAATACACTGCTGAGAGCAGTGGGCACGGCAGGAGAGGTCTGTTGCACCATGTGGGACCCTCGCTGGTGGCCGGGGATCGAACTGGTGCTGCAGAGGCTGCGGGCAGCTTCGCAGCCCAGTGCTCAACCACTGCGCCACCAGCGGAGGCCCCACAATTTCTTTTTACCTGATGTTGGCAGAAACATAAGCAAATATTCTGTTGTTTTCCATATGAATAATACATGTACCTAAGAATATACCAACCTTTAAAAAAAAAAGAAACACTATACTCCTGATTTATTTACTTATTTTTAAAGATTTATTTTTATTTATTTATGCATACAAGAACTGAGGTATAGGCCAGATGTGCAGGTGGTGAGAGGATTCATCAGAGACAGAGTGGGGAGCAGAATAGGCAGATCTACTGAAATACACTGCTCAGGGAGCAGTGGGCAAGACAGGAGAGGTCTGCTATGCCATGAGGGTTAGCTCCCTGTCGGGGGATTGAACTCATGCCACAGTGGCTGGCCATGGCTTGACAGTGCTGAGACTTTGACCCCTGGGCCACCAAGGAGGATCTATAGTCCTGATTTATATACATCTTTCATTTGGGCTTCTTTTAATGGCTCAGTTGGTTAGCTAGCCACTAAAATTCATGCCTTGTCACTGGGAAGCAGCTGCTTATGCAGAAATTACATTTTCCAGTTTTACTTACATCTGGGTGTGGCTGAGAGAATGAGTGAAGTGACTATGTCTCTGAAATTATCAGTGAATGGAAAAGAGCTGCTCTCTGATAGTATCATTTGCCTTAGACCAGAGTATTAAGGAAAATAAACTCCTACTGCATATTGACCATTATACATTTTTTGGAACTATATGTTTCAACCGTGAGGGTTATTCGAACTTAGTGTTACTCTAACATTAATAAAACTTTGCCACTTATAGATGTATTTTCCACTTATTAAGCTTATTATAAAGCCCAGGTAGAGGTAAGAAAGAACAAACAATATTAAAGGCTCTAAGTGATAAGAATGTTCCTAAAACAGATTTTACCATGTAAGTAAATTAAATACTTCTTAATGATTTGGATAACATTAGAACAACTCTGTGTGTTTGTGCACGTGTGTGCGCATGTCTGAAGTTGACCACAGGAGGAAAAGATATACCTGAACAATACCAAGAGTGGCAGATGTAACCGGGTCAGAAAAATCACCACCAGGTGGAGAAACTCTAAATTTAAAATAAAAAGAAAATTATTAGAAATGCTTATGAAAAATAACTTGTATATGAAAGTCAAATTTTTTCCCTGAAAGTCCATTTTAATGTAAAAGCTTTTTATTGTAAAAACAACTTTGGAAAGAAAAGTCTCACCTAAGAACCTTAAATAAAAATCAGCACTATGTTGCAAATAAGAAAGATATCATTAAACACTCCTAGTATAGGAAATGAGACATTAAAATTACTTCTAATACTTCTAGTCAAATAGATGAAGGAAGGAGGAAAAGTCCCAAGAACTGTGTGTGGCTTTTTATTACGTAGTGATCTTCACATTGATTTTTAACACAACAGTCTTACCTTAACATGTCTATAATTTCCTAAGTGATTCCTAAATACTGTCACTTGAGTATAATAAATCTGTCAAGTCAAATCTAAAGAACCAGAACATACAGAGATCACCAAATATGTGTGTTTGAATGAGTGGCTTGGTTGACTCTGGAGTGCAAGCAAACTTAATTAAAAGCCACTGCCCTCAGAGGAAACTAAATATTTTCTCTTTAAGGTAAGTGACTTTTTTTTCCTTTTTGAAAAGTAAACAGTTGAAGCGCTTACGCTCCTACAATGCTGACACTCCCTTCTCTTTCAGGATTTCCAAGACATTTCACTCTGCCTGCTCGCTCATAGAAAGAGGCCAGGCGGGCACCAAGATATGCAGGATATCCACTATCTGAAAAATGAAAACAAAAATTTTTAAAAGAAAGATTCTAAGCCAGTCCCCCAAATCCTACTCATTTTGCTTACATAATAAATAACATAAACACCTACCTGCAGGCATCTCAGCTAAGCGACCAGAGATTTCTCTAAGGGCCTCAGCCCATCTAGAGGTAGAATCAGCCATCATACTGACATGATAGCCCATGTCACGGAAATATTCTGACAGTGTAATTCCTAAATTGGGAAGAATATTGTAAGTTATAATCCTATAATGAATAATCTTGACTTTTTCAATGTTATCAAAGTTTTAAAACAGTAAGTACAATCCTTCCACTCTCTTTTTCCCTTCTGAGAGAACTAAACGGAGCCCTGGAACGCATGTGTAAAATCACATACAATAAACCACTCAGAAGAGGTTATCACACAGAAAGAAGTCCTGGGTTCTAGTTTCTGTTTTGTCATTAACCCTAGCAAAGAAACGTCACTCTCTAATCTATCTAAACACATTGGATGAAATGATACATATACACGCCCTCAGCAAAGTACAAAATACGACACAACTTTAGAAATATAGTTGTTGCTCTAAGAGTTCCAAAATCTATTACTCTGTTCCTTTATTTTACCAGTAAGAAAATAAAAGCTTATCTATGAAAAACAAAGTAGTTACTGGAAAATTCAGCACTTACTGTTTATTAAATTATATCTCAGAATAAAAAATGAATTCTGAAGCTTTCTAAAAATGGTCCCATTAACAAAGTCTTAAAGAAGTATTACTCACATATTATTAAGGCTTAAAAAACACAGTAATTACCACATATCAATCTCATGATGGAAATGATCCTGCCTTATACAAGTGTGGCTATGTTTTAAGTCTGTAGTAACATTCACTATGTGTATATATTAGAAATACTTGGAACATATAGATACGCATGAATAAACTTCAAAGAAAGTTCACAGGCTCTTTCACCGACCTAACATCATCAATGCCTTCAAGAAAAAAATAAAACCTCAGACAAAATCAAAAGATGAATAAATGGAAAATATATTTGCAACTCATGACAGATAAAAGGCTAATTTCAAAGAGACTTTACAAATCATTATGAAAAAGAACTACTGTCCAAAAGGAAGACAGTTTTCACATGGTTAAATACATATAGGAAAGATGATAGCTCACTGTTATGAAATACAGACTGAATAAGTATCCAATAAAGCACAGATAGTAAAATGCTAATTGTCAGATCTAAGTACCAAGTACATGGGTATGCACCGATCTTTTCTCTACTTTTTGTATATTTGATAGCTATCCTAAGAAAGTATGGGAAAACTAGCATTGCTGAAGCTGTGGAGAACTCTTATCTACTATTACCCCTTTTGAACGGGGAACCAAACAAAGATGGAAGGTAATACATAAATAGATTGATTGTCTTACTCCTTTATATCCAGCAGTCAAAATACAATAATTAAAATTTGATAAGTTATAGAGACATGGGTATATTCAAAGCAAGAAAATGGTAAAATATGTAATGAAAAAAAAATGGTAGGAGAGAAGATATACCATTTTATGATCATTTAAAAGTTTGGAGCAGCTCTATAAATGTCTTCTGCTGACAACTTCTCAAGACATAAATAGTCAAGCATTTCCAAAAAGCAACAAAATGGTTATATGTACAGAGGTATTTTGGAATGAAACAGAAGTTCTTTGGAAAATATTAAGTTGGTACTAGTTTTAAACTTAAGATCAGATGTTACCACTTTTATTCCAATTTATATACTCACCAGTATAAATAGAAGCTTCTCTTGCAGCAACAGGCATATTGGAGGTATTGGCTACCAAAGCTGTTCTCTTCATGATTGACTCTACCTTACCGTCAACTTCCATTGTAAGCTGGAGGCAAACAATCTATTAGTGATCCTCTATTTCCACATGGAGCATTTTAGTCCCCCGTTTACAACTTCATATTTAAGTCTTCTGTAATAAATGTTCCCAAAGAATATTCCCCACCACTCCCAATTCTTTCCTCTCCCTATTACCAAGTACTATAAATACAGGCATTATTTTCATTTCCTAATGAAAACCATTATTTTATGGGGGAAAAAAATTACTATAGTAACCTTGTAGATCACATTAAGCCTACGTAAAGTTCACATCCATAAATATTTTGCCTATTTCATCTCCTCTTCATAACTGAAAACCACCAAACTACAAAAAGAAATTCTCATGCGTTTTATTAAAAAATTACAGTCTTCCCTGAATATAAAAATTAGATCGTAAATGTAATTATTCCTTGAGATTCTTGACAAATGAGAGTATTGTTCCAGATCCAACAAAGGGCTTTGTTAATGCTAATCAAAGCTGTCTAGTGGTGTGATTTTTTTCTAGAAAATTATTTGAAAGCTCTATAAACACAGACCTCTGGGAAGTCCCGAAGGACTTCAGACATCTCATTTCCTCTTTCACCACATCCTACATAGATGATCACATCACTGTTGGAATATTTGGATAGAGACTGTGAGATCACAGTCTTTCCACAGCCAAAAGCCCCAGGGATTGCAGTTGTTCCTCCCTGTACACATCTAAACAAGAAAACAAAGTGTGGATTACATGAGTTGATAATAAATACTAATAAATTAGATTAGTGACACACAAAATACAACTTAAAGAACTCTGAAATATTTTCATCTCTACATATTAACTCACAAAGATAATACACAGATGTAGATATAAATTGCTTCCCTGCTTGGTACCTAAAGTAGTATGCCTCTTATTATCAATCATCTCTATCTTTCATAGCTGAAAAGCAAAAGTACATGGGTACATGGGTAGGAGGAATATGAAAATAATAAGAAAATAGTACTAATATTTTGAAAGCTTTTATAAATTAGCACATGAAAAGACAATATAGGAATTAAAGCTAAAAGAAAAAAAGATAAACAACTTTAAAAAGTTGTCTCTTGAGGTAAAAAATAAGAACTAAAAAAGTTACAACTTGCTATAAAGGTTAATGAACAAAGATATTCACTAAGGTGTTAAATTAATCCCATTTTACCCATTCAGTAATTATTTACAAAATACCTCCAGGGTTCTAAAAACTGTGTTTGGAGATGCTGGAGAGACAGCAGTGAGTAAGAGAGCCATGTTTTCTATACTCACAGAGCTCACATTCCAGTGAGCTAAAGTGCAGAGAGTCAGCTAGTACTTACAGCACCATTTAGCAGTCACCTTCAAACTTTCCCTAAAAAGTGGCAGTGGAGTGAAATACCCTTAAGGGCTGAGGAAAGTCAGTACTGCAGTATGTGTGTGTTTGCATTCACACACTAAGTGTGTTAGGGGTAGAGTGGGAGGGGAGGTTCTAAACAGGAGAAATGGGATGAGAAACAACGCATAATTAATAATGATTTTTTCAATATAAAACAAACATGCATTAAAATTTTTTCTCCCCTAAACCTTTCAGTGACTTTGAATAAACTAAGAAGGCACATCCATTTATCCTATGGTTTGCATACGCTTTCAAATCACTTTTAACCTGTCTGGGGAGAGAAGGCAGAGTGGGTGTGGGCCCAGTTTGGGAGTTCAATGACACAATTTGAAAAGTGATGTCATAGGGAAGGACTGCGAGATATTGTGGGAGTACACAGGAAGGCGGGTAGAGTCTAATCTACTGGAGTAGGTTAGGGCATTCTTTTTTTTTTTTTTTAATGAAAGAATGCTTTATTATGGATTCAATTTATTTATCAATTATTCATGCACTGGCTCCTGATGCATACAATTTAAACCTTTTATGGATCTTCAGAATTTTTAAAAAAACAACTGTTTATTGGGGTAAGCCATTTTCCTGAAGAAGCTAAGACTTGAAATAGAAATTAGCCAGAAAAAAATAAATACATTCTAGAGGGACAACATGCACAAAGGGGCAAGAGGGAGCCTTACTTGAGGAATTAAAAATCATTCAGTGTGCCTGGAACATGGCATAAAGGAAGTAGTTGGCCAGTCGAATACATGAAACAAATGGAAGGCAAGTAATGACTAGATCTGGATGGCTTTGTATGGAGTTAAGAGCAATGAAGAGCCCTATGGGAATCAAGCAAAACAGTTCAGGACCAGATAAGTGTTTTAAGATCTATTTTTTTTTAAAGAGGCATGTATTTATTTATTTGTTTGTTTGTTTGTACATGCACTGGGTACAGTCAGAAGCGCGGGAGGGTGAGAGAATTCACCAGAGCCAGAGCAGGGAGCAGAGCAGGCAGAAGGACCGAAGTACACTGCTGAGGGGAGCAGCGGGCAGCAGGAGAGGTCTGCGTGCCATGCCGGACCCTCCTCTGGTGGCCGGGGAGCAGCTGGGGATCGAATCGGCGCCGCAGATGCCGCGGGCAGCTTCGCAACCCAGCGCTCAACCGCTGCGCCACCGGGGAGGCCCCCAGATAAGTGTTTTAAATGGATCACTATATAATATGGACAGCCATTAGAAAGAAGGTAAGACTGAAGGTAGAGAATTTGTTTAAATAAGACTTGCAGAAATTAGGGTAAAATTCTTAAATTAAGGTCATGGATTAGGGATGAGAGACATAGACAAAAAAATATTTAGGAAACAGGATAAAAATACTTGTCCAAAGACAAACATCAACAGATACACCAAGATTGAAATCATACCAACCATCTTTTCTGACCATGAAGGCATCAAACTAGAACTAAACCATAAAAAGAAGGCAAGGAACTTTCCTACCTCATGGAGATTAAAAACCACACTACTGGAAGACCACTGGACTAATGAGGAGATCAAAGAAGAAATTAAAAAATTTTTTGAATTGAACGACAAGGAGGACACCAATATCCTAAATGTATGGGATGCAGCAAAAGCAGTAATAAGAGGAAAATATATAGCAATAGAAGCTCACATCAAGAAACAAGAAAGAACTCAAAGAAACAACCTAATCTCGAAGCTCAAAGATCTAGAAAAAGAACAACAAAAAAAACCCAAAACCAGTAGAAGAAAAGAAATAATAAAAACCAAAGCAGAAATAAATGAAATTGAAACTAAAAAAACAATCCAAAAGATCAATGAAACCAAGAGCTGGTTCTTTGAAAAAATCAATAAAATAGACAAACCCCTAGCCAGGCTCACAAAGGAAAAAAGGGAGAAAGCACAAATAAACAGGATCATCAATGAAAGAGGAGAAATCACAACGGACACAGCAGAAATCAAAAGAATAATCAGTAACTACTATGAACAGTTATATGGAAATAAGTTTAATAATCTAGAGGAGATGGACAAATTCCTACAACTCTACAATCACCCAAAGCTAGATAAAGAAGAAATAGAACACCTAAACAGACCAATTACAATTAGCGAAATTGAAATGGTAATCAAAAACCTCCCCAAAAACAAAAGCCCAGGACCTGATGGATTTACAAATGAATTCTACCAAACATTCAGAGACGAATTAGTGCCTATCCTTCACAAACTCTTCCAAAAAATTGAGAAGGAAGGGACAATACCAAACACGTTCTATGAAGCCAACATTACACTAATACCAAAACCGAACAAGGACAACACTAAAAAGGAAAACTACAGGCCAATCTCCCTAATGAACACTGATGCAAAAATCCTCAATAAAATTTTAGCCATCAGAATCCAACAATGTATCCATAAGATAATTCACCACGACCAAGTAGGATTCATTCCAGGGGCACAAGGATGGTTTAACATCCGAAAATCAATCAACGTTATCCAACACATCAACAAAAAGAAATATAAAAACCATATGATAATATCAATAGATGCTGAGAAAGCTTTCGACAAAGTGCAACACCCATTCATGATAAAAGCCCTTGAAATTCTTGGGATACAAGGAACATACCTCAACATCATAAAGGCCATCTATGACAAGCCAACAGCCAGCATCATTCTCAATGGTGAAAAGCTGAAAGCAATTCCATTAAGATCTGGAACAAGACAAGGATGTCCACTCTCACCACTGCTTTTCAATATAATACTGGAAGTCCTAGCCAGGGCAATAAGACAAGAGAAAGACATCCAAGGAATCCAAATAGGAAAAGAAGAAGTCAAACTATCACTATTTGCAGACGATATGATATTATACATAGAGAACCCCAAAAACTCCACAGAAAAGCTAATTCAACTCATCAATCAGTTCAGTAAAGTGGCAGGATACAAAATCAACATGCAAAAGTCAGTAGCCTTCCTATACACAAACAATAAATCTGAAGAAGAAGAAATAAAAAAAACCATCCCTTTTGTTATTGAAACAAAAAAAATCAAATATTTGGGAATAAATCTAACAAAAGAGATAAAGGACCTATACAAAGAAAACTATAAAACACTGTTAAAAGAAATAGAAGAAGACACAAAGAAATGGAGAGACATCCCCTGCTCGTGGATTGGAAGAATAAACATTATTAAAATGGCCATCCTTCCAAAAGCAATATACAGATTCAATGCTATTCCAATCAAAATTTCAATGTCATTCTTCAAAGAAATAGAACAATTATTGATGAAATTCATATGGAATCACAAAAAACCCCGAATAGCCAAAGCTCTCCTGAAAAAAAAAGAAGGGAATGGAGGCATTACACTCCCAGACTTCAAACTATACTACAAAGCCATAATCATCAAAACTGCATGGTATTGGAACAAGAACAGACATACAGACCAATGGAATCGAATAGAAAATCCAGAAATAAACCCACAGATCTATGGTCAACTAATCTTTGACAAAGGAGCAAAGACTATGCATTGGAGCAAAGAAAGTTTGTTCAATAAATGGTGCTGGGAAAACTGGGTCGCTACATGCAAAAGAATGAAGCTTGACCACTACCTCACACCATACACAAAAATCAACTCAAAATGGATTAAAGAACTAGACATAAGACCTGAAACCATAAAATATATAGAAGGAAATATAGGCGAAACACTACGTGATCTGCACATCAAAGACATCTTTACAGACACATCACCCAAAGCAGTGATAGTGAAGGCAAAGATAAACAGCTGGGACTACATCAAATTAAAGAGCTTCTGCACAGCAAAAGAGACAATAACAAAAACAAAGAGAAACCCCACCAACTGGGAGAACATTTTTGCACCCAACACTAATGATAAAGGACTGATCACAAAAATCTGCAAAGAGCTGATGAGACTCAGCAACAACAAAGAAAATAATCCAGTCAAAAAATGGGCACAAGAGCTAAAAAGAAACTTCTCTGAAGAGAAAATGCAAATGGCCAACAGGCATATGAAAAAATGTTCAACATCACTTGCCATCAGGGAAATGCAAATCAAAACTACCATGAGATACCATCTTACACCAGTGAGAATGGCACATATTAAAAAAAACTAGCAACAACAAATGCTGGCGAGGGTGTGGAGAAAAAGGAACTCTTCTGCACTGTTGGTGGGAGTGCAAACTGGTCCAACCACTGTGGAGAGCTGTGTGGAGATTTCTGGACCTACTAAACATAGAGCTTCCATATGATCCAGCAATTCCACTCCTAGGTATTTACCCAAAGGACACAGAAACATCAATTCCAAAGAACACCTGCACCCCTATGTTTATAGCAGCACTGTTTACAATAGCTAAGCTTTGGAAACAACCCAAATGCCCAAAAATAGATGACTGGATCAAGAAGATGTGGTACATATATACCATGGAATATTACTCAGCATTCAAAAAAGATAAACACATGCAATTTGCAGCAACATGGATGGCGCTGGAAGGGATCATGCTCAGCGAAATAAGCCAAAAAGAAAAAGAAAAATACCGGATGGTCTCACTCATAGCAGGAATCTAGAAAACTTAAATAAGGGACCAGGAAAATGAATAACTATAAGAAAGTGAAAATCAAAATCAACAAAAAACTATGAACCAGAGACAATTTTAGGGGGGCGGGGGCGGGAGGGGAGGGATTGGGGTCAGAATGGGGGGGCTGCAATTGTATGGGGAATATAACAATAAAATTTATAAAAAAAAAAAAAAAAAAAAATACTTGTCCAATAATTAGATGTGGAGGATAAAAAAATACCCATGAGAGAATTATAGATATTAGGTTGGGCATTTATTTACTGTAAAAATAATAGGGACATTTGTTGAGAAAGGCACAAAGAAAGATGAGCAGGTTTCAAGAAAGAGAGTGGTGATTTAAGATGATGATTTTAGTTTTGAATATACTGGCTTTTAAAGGATCTGTAGGATAGTCAAATGGAGAGGTGTAATCAGAAGTGGATAAAAGAGTCTAGAACTCAGAAGTGATCTGGGATAAAGATTTAGATTCAGGAGTTATCACATTTAGATGAATACTGAAGTCATGAGAGTGGATTAAGTCATCCACAGGGAGTAAGATAAAGAATTGAAGAGAGGGGCCTCCTGTTGGCACAAGGGATTAAGTCTCAGCACTATCAAACTATTGCCAGCCACTGCAACATGAGTTCAACCCCCAGCCAGAGAGCTAACCCACATGGCTCAGCAGACCTCTCCTGTCTCACCTGCAGTTCCCCTCAGCAGTTTATTTCAGTAGATCTTCCTGATCTGCTCCCCACTGTCCTTGGTGAATTCTCTCACCACCCCCCACCCCCCCATGCCTACACCCCAGTTCCTCTATGCATAAATAAATAAAAATAAATCTTTTTAAAAAATATTTTTTCCCACCCACTGACTTCTACTTCCTTTTTTTTTTTTTTTTTTTTAAAGATTTATTTTTTATATAAGAGCTGGAGGTATAAGCCAGAGGCGTAGAAGGGTGAGAGAATTTACCAGAGACAAAGTGGGGAGCAGAACAGGCAGATCTACTGAAATATACTGCTGAGGGGAGCAGCGGGTGTGATAGGAGAGGCCTGCCAAGCCATGTGGGACTCTCTCCCTGACTGGCTGATAATCGAACCCACACTGCAGAGGCTGCGGACAGCTTCACAGCACAGCGCTCAACCCGCTGTGCCACTGGGGAGGCCCTAAAAATAAATCTTTAAAAAAAAAAAAAAAGAAGAAGAAAAAGTCCTAGAAGAGGGAAAACTCTAATAGCAAAATTCAGGGGAAAGGAACCTATAAGAGAGAATAAACTGGCAGACAGAAGCTAACAGGAAAAACAAAAGGATTGTTTCAATGAAGGAGTAGAAAGCAAAACCCAAAATTGTAGGAATTAAGGAAATACTAAAACTTTTTATTGAATTATAGGTCTAGGAGTGTCTGATGATGTTAGTGAGAGGAGTGAGGGAATGAGAGCAGAGTACACTGAATTAGACTGGGAAAAGTAGAAGCAGCTAATTTACTGTATCAGGAAGTTTGGCTGTGAAGATGAGGAGAAAATAGTAGAAGGTAGAAAGAGGAAAAAGGTAGAGGGTAGACTTTGTTTCATTAGATGGAAGATAAAGGAAGATATCTTACACAAGGGGGTGTTTGAGGAGATGTGAAGTGAGAGATAAGCTCCAGAAAGAGGAAGTAAAGAAGGGATGAATGGGAATATTTACCGTGGCAGCAAATCTATGGCAAAAATGAAGAGTTACAAATCTTATGGTTTCTGATTTCTCAGTGAAGGATCAAACATGACTATTTGTTGAGAATGAGGGGAAAAGAGAGGACTTGAAGATCTGAGGTGAGTAAAGAGGTTTGAAATAGCTGCCAAGGGAAGAAAAATGATAATTAGGAAGATACAGAAGGACTGCTACACAATAGTGAAGTTAACTACCCATTTTTGCCCTGGATTTTTTGTTTTCTCTGCAGCTTGTATATAGATTTGGGAGGAGATGGCTGGACTGATTCATAGTTGGGATTTTGCTAAGAAGGTATGACAGAAAACAAAGAAAAAATTTAGTTTGTAAGAGTGATAGACTATGGAGTCTAAGCTGGATAGTGAAGGATATAGAAACAGGACATTGATTAATAAGAAAGAAGTTTCAAAGGATTGAAGATCTTGATGAGAATAGTGAGAATAACTCAGTAGACATGAAGAGTAAGAGGCTATATTAAGAGTGGGACATATAAGGGCTGGTGGCGAGAGACTGAGGAAATTATTATATCATAGCTTCAGTCTTTTCTATGAATGAAATGACAAGGTCATTTGTTAACATTAAAGCAGCATATGGTGAAATCTAAGATTTAAAGAAAAAGGAGGTTTCTAGACGGTAAAGAAAATGAAAAACAGCAGACAATAAATCAAGAAAAACATAGTGAGCCCAGCTGATTTCAGAAACCATCAATTAAAGTGATATCAATCTACAAAAATTATTTTCATGTGAATTTTCTTTTGGAATTTTTTTTTAAATTTAGAAATAATGCTTTCCTTTTACAATTGTGAAAAAGTAAATCTTCAATGATTTGACTATAATAAGCAGTGGCAGGGTCTCCCTGGTGGCGCAAGGAGTTGAGTCCCAGTACTATCAAGCTATTGGCAGCCACTGCAGCATGAGTTCGAACCCCAGCCAGGGAGCTAACCCACATAGCACAGCAGATCTCTCTTATCTTGCTTGCTGCTCCCCTCAGCAGTGTATTTCAGTAAATCTTCCTGTTCTACTCCCCACTCTGTCTCTGATGACTCCTCTCACTCCCTTGTACCTCTGGCCTATACCCCAGCTCTTGTATGCAAAAATAAATAAAAAATAAATCTTAAAAAAAAAAAAAAGCAGTGGCAATATAACACATATTCAATATATAATTAATTCACTATATCTCTAAATAACATTTATTACAGGATTAGGACATAAAAATTTAACTATAAAAAGTGGACCTGTAAGCACATATAATAACTACAAAGGAAAACCATAGAGCCCAGCTCAAACTTACGGAAAAAGAGCATCCAGGACTCTCTGGCCAGTCAACAAAGGATGATTGGCTGGTAGCTTCTCAGTGACAGGCCGAACTTGACGTACAGGCCAAACTTGGACCATGCTGAACTTCTCTTTTACACCTTCAAATTCAAGCTCCAAGACAACATCCTATAAAAATACAGCAGGATTTAAAATACTATCAAATTTATAAACATTTTTTTCTTTTAAAAATCTGAGTAATCCTGGATTCTTCTTGGGGATCGGGAGGTGGAATGTGGAAACAGGGAGGGAGAATATACTTTTTATGAAAAATCATTATTTGCAATCCTATCTTTTTAAATTATATATATTTATTATTTTTTAATTCTTTCAAACAGTTTAGTCATTTTTGAGAAGAAGGTCTTTCAAGTAATAGAGGAATAGTTAAATAAATTACATGGATATGTGCAGGGAAAAGTCATAAAGGATGCAGAAACTTCTCCTGGGACTAAGGAAGAGAGAAGTGAAGTATTCCTGACTTATTTTCTATTCTTTGTTTTGTTTATTATAATGCTCTTATACTGCTTTAATGAATACTTACCTATTAAGAACCCTAAAATATTTAATAAAGTCAAATATTTTTATACTTTAAAAAAGCAAAAAGGCAATGAGTACATTTAGGACAGAACATTTCACAATTCTAAAATACACACACCTACAGAAATATGTAATTTTGTTGACAGAGGAATCTAAATTACCTGCTTCAGGGTGGTTCATCCATACAGCGAGTGAGTCTAAGCTATTGAGCAAGACTAGCTGACAGCTCAGAATCCCAGAGTTTTTTAACATTGACATGATAGTACATTAGCTGCAGCTGTTCAACATAATGATTTGATATTTGTTTTGTTTTGTTATATTTGTGCTTACATAGGGTCTCCCTGGTGGCACAGGTAGTTGAGCACAGCACTGTGAGGCTGTCTGCAGCCTTTGCAATGCCGGTTCGATCCCCGCCTGCCAAGGAGCAACCCACATAGCTTGGCAGATCTTTTCTGTCTCACTCACTGCTCCCCTTAGCAGTGTATTTCAGTCAGTCTGCCTGTTCTGTTCCCGGGTCTGTCTCTGGTGAATCCTCTCACCCTCCCATATATCTGGCCTGTACCCTGGTTCTTGTGTAAATAAATCAATCTTTTAAAAAAAATAATTGTGTTTACATAGAAGAACTGGGGTGTAGGTCAGAGGTGCGGGGGGTGAGAGGATTCACCAGAGACAGAGTGGGGAGCAGAACAGGCGGATTTATTAAAATACACTGCTAAGGGGAGCAGTGGGCGAGACAGGAGAGGTCTGCTGTGCCATGTGGGTTAGCTCACTGGCTGGGGATTGAAGTCAGGCTGTTAGAGGTGATAGTGCTGAGACTTAACCCCAAGGCCACCGTGAGGCCCCCATGATTTGATATTTATATATATTATGAAATTATCGCTACAACATGTCAATAACATCTGTTACCATAATTGTAAATTTTTTTTTCTTGTGGTGAGGACTTTTAATAGGTACTAGGTATTCTCTCAGCTACTTTATAATACACAATATTATAACCATAGTCACCATGTTGTACATTATATCTCCACGACTAATTTATTTTATAAGTAGAAATTTGTACCTTTTGACTCCCTTCACCCATTTGTCTACCTTAAATACCCGCCTAATCCCAATCTGGCAACCACCAATGTGTCATAGACATGAGATCATATGCTATTTGTCTTTATTTCATAATGCCCCCAATTGCAGTCAATGTTGCTAATACAATGTTGTTCATTTATTATGGTTGGTTAATATTTCATTGTGAGATAAAGTTTATATGATACTTACAGAGGTATCATAATTCCCAGGTGGTGCAATATAAGTCACAGTTCCTCTGTTTCGTGGGGGTAACATGATTTTGTGTTTGATGAGCGAGTTCTCAATGACAGTTCCATATATATCTCCACCAGTGATATGACTACCAACCTAGAAAAGAATTTTCTTTTCAATGTTCAAATAAACATTGAACACCCTTGATATTATCATTTAAATCATTTGCCTCACTTATCAATAAAACATATTAGTTCTACAATCCTACTTGCAGATTTAAGGAAAAAGGAAAAATTTAAACCATGCTTCTGCATTCTATTTTTAATTGGACTACAACAGTCAATAAACATCCATTTTACATTCTTTACCAACTTTAGAAATTCCCGGTTAAAAGACATACCCGTAGGCTTTTGCAAGGTGTAAAATCCCACTTGATATCTCTGCTAAGAGCAGACACATTTACTCCTCTAGGAATGTAGATACTTTGGGTCTGACTGCTGATATCCGATAAAGGTCTTTGAATACCATCAAAAATGGCTCCCATAATGCCAGGACCAAGTTCTACGGAGAGGGGTTTACCAGTGCGAAGTACAGGATCTCCAACAGACACACCAGCTAGAGACAGTAGTTGAGGAAAACTCACTGTGAAAATTTATAGTTACTATAAAAAGGAAATAGTAGAATTTGGACAGGGAAATCATTAAGATGCTAAATAGAGATTATCAATTTTCTCCATTCACAGCATCCTTTGTTTTTTAGTAAAATTCTCAAAGTGCCCTAGAACAAAAGATATGCCTAACAATTCCATTTATTAAATAGTTATATCCAAACAACTTAATATATGTGTCCTAACATCTGAGTAGCACTTTGAAGGAAAAATAAATATAAATTGCACAAAAAATATTTTAATTTCATTCTTAAATAACCTCAATCTTAAAAATGGGAATTGTGTGCCTGTCAGCATTGTACAATTTTCAAAACTTGGATTCAGAACGAAAACCCGTTCCACATCATTTTTACAGGGTACTTGCTTTATTGCTTAGCAATTGCCAAAAAATCAGCTTTGTAAAAATATGACATCATTGACAAAAGGGTAGTACAGGTGATTAATAAAATTGCTACTATCTCAAACTAGTAGTTTGTGATATCTGACTAGATGTCTAATATTCTTGTGTTAATCTCAAAAACTTAAAATACCTTGCAGCACCATAAAAATCTGCTGCAAATTCCCAGAGGGTCTTGGTGAACACTTTGGGAACCAAAGCATTAAAAAAAGAAAAAGAGAAGCAAAGACTCGCCTTAATATATAGTTTCAATTATAAAATGGACTAAATAGTCCCCTAAAAAAGGATCTTAGTACCTGAACAATAAATTAAAATCTTAAGAACTGCTTTTGAAAAGGAAAAGAATAAAACATGTAAATAAGCACACTGAGAAATATGTGAGAAGTATGCTCTCCCAAACTTGTTGAAATCAGCACAACTCTTACTGACAGCAATTTAGCAATGTGATTCAAAATTAAAAATGCATAAACCTTGGCCAAAGAATCCAACTTCTATGAATTCATATTAGTTATACTTTAATGGTGTCAGTAAAAAAATTGAAACCAAAATTTCTATTGAGAGAAAAATAAATTATGATATATTCATATTACAGAATTCTACATTGCTACGAAAATAGCATCTTCCATAATTGTTCTAGAATGATCTCCAAAATAGTCTCATTTTCAATATCTGATTATAAAAATTTTCAAACATACAGCATACTTGAAAGAATTTTACACTGAACTCGCCAATCTCTGCTAGAGCCTACCAATTACATTTTACCATATTACTTATCTATCCTTTTTCCACAGAATGTAACTTGTTAAGTGGAAAAATGGGAAGATGCAAAATAGTCCATATAATATGTTATCTCTCTGGAAAAAAGGGAATAAACTACATATTTATTTTGTTACACATGCAGTTAACAAACTACTAGGATATATAATAAAAGGAATTAGTCAAAGTGGCTGTACAAGTGTTTTGAAAATTGGCCAGAAACAGATGACAAAGATGGAGTGGTCCTTGCATAACTTAATATTTTGAAGATAGAAAAGTCCTTTTGATTAGTTATGATTTCACAACCACAAAGATTTGGAATTTTATTTAAATTTTTCAGATGATTTTGTTTTGAACAAGGGCTCCAGTACTCATAAAGAGAGAACAGTTACCTGCATGAATACATTTTAGTACGGCAAATAAAGTATACTAAATAAATCTTAGAGAATTAATGCTGATCTTGGAAATCTAAGTCAAATACATAAATGAAGCAAAAAAAAAGAGGTAGTTTCTCTTCACAAGGTGTAATGGTTCACCTTTTAAATTTTCATAGAAAATTGGAAATAAATGCTATGTGTAAAAGTCAAAACATGGTAATCAAACATACAGTAAAGATCCCTAGTGCTACAGTTATAATGTAACACATCACACAGGACTATTTATTATCATTAGAGTTGTAACTGATTTATTTGTGGATTTAACTATTTTAAACAGAAATCACAATTGAATCATTTTAACCATATAAATCAGTGTTGTTATTCTGTATATGCTTTCTTCTAAAATGCAGGTGTTTCTCTGAAGAAAAATTCTAGTTGGTCCCTCCTAGTTTGTGAACTAATGAGATACAAAGGCCAAAGAAAGATTAGATGGTAATACTAACTTCTTAAAATATGAGCACCAATTTCTAGCATCTTTCTTCAATATATTCCCAACAAAGCAAGTTTCTTCACAACATTTGTACTCCTGATACCATGGTTGTTGTTGCTTCTATCTTTGTCATAAATTCTTAAATTTTGAGTTGCAGGGAGATGCAAGAAATCGAACCAAAAAGGATACAAGTTTCTTCATACACCTGGATGGTAGCCATGTCACCCTCCAAACGGATAATCTCTCCAACCAACTCACTGTGGCCCACTCTCACCAGCTCATACATGGCAGCCCCTGCCATGTTGCAGGCTGTGACCACTGAAAAGTACAAATGAGTATTTTGATGACTTACAACTCTGTGAATAGTTAGATAATTAAAATATCCAATAAATCCAATAACACATCTCTCTTTTATATCATAGGAGAAATAAATGCCCATGATGAACAGATATGTGGTTTCTCAAAAATGATGTATTTTAGCATCTTTTTTAGTATGATATAGAGGGTAAACAAAATAAATTTGTGAGACTAAAGATTATCCATTTATATAATACACATGAAAACTATTTTCAAAAACTTTTAAGTTCTAGATGGCAAACTCTTATCCAGTAGAACTGCAGCACTTTTTGATCAATACATATTGCTATAAGACATGGAATAATGAGCTTTGGAACAAGTATCAGTTTGCTGTATTGTCACAATTCCTCTGAGAGACAAATATCTAAAACACCTTTACTTTCTAACAATTTATACCAATGGTTCACAAGACCCTTCTAGGACATGGACCTTTCTGAAGAGTTGTTGATAGCTAGATCTAGAAAAACTCACATATGCATCTAAAAGTTTTTTTCTTAGGCCATAAGGATGTTTATAACCAGTCACCCTTACTGGAAGAGGTCCTCATTAAGAATCCCTATTTCCCTCAAATACTGAACCAGAATTTGTACTTAGTGTTGTAGAGCACATTACCTAATAAACAAAAATTACTTTTCTGGCAGGGAGGAACGGTTACATATTTTCAGATATATGTAGGAATAAATCTATTTTTAGTTTCTAGTCTTCAGTATTAATGATATTCAAGTGTAAACTATTTCAGTATTAATATGTAACCTGTTAGGACAATAAAGATAAATTTCATAAAGATTTACCTCTATACTTGCTATGTGAGAAAATTAAGATATTAAAATACCAAAGACAACTAAAATTTTAACTCATATTACATAAACTCATTTCTCTATTATTTTACAAAGTACTTAAGAAATATAAATAGGTTCCAGGAGCAATATGTTGAAAAAATATTTTTACCCAAACACTTTTGATGGTACTCTTTTGTCTTTTCCCTAATAGTTTTTACATTGTAACCTGTCTTTTCTAAAAATTCTGATAATCATCAAGGGGAAAAGTATTTCTCTGAATGCCAAGAGATTAAAAACAGTGAAATGTATGATTTGTTGATGTATAGTTTGTGAATGAGTTCAAGGTCAAACACCAAGCTCTAAGCAGTGGAAGTTTTTGGGGGGAGAAATAAAAGGAACAGTAACTAACAGCCTTCATTCGGATAAACACCAAAATCAGGGTAATCACTTCTACTATGATATAGAACATGAGTTTATAAAAGGACGTAATATGAATTTTCATGGCATTAAGAATTATAAATCAATGAGAAGTTTTTTTTTTTACCCTAGGAAGCTGTGAACCACATTTTTCAAAGGCAGTTGCAAAGTAACAAAAACAGTAGTGTGAGATTGATTATTTAAAATACAGTGCCCCGAATTTTGGCAGAATGAACATCAAGTTTAATACTACTTTCCATTATCAGCATCATGTCTTAGGACTTCTTTCCTCTAAATAGTTAGTTATATGGTATAGGAAATAAACATTCAGAAAGATTTATCTACGCAAAGAGCCAAGGTTGATATTGCTAAGAAGTAATCTGAAAACAATTATTAAAGCTCAAGCCAAATTAAAGGATATTTACTGAGTACCTTTTATTTGTAAAAGCTATACTAAAAGCTATAAACTTTAGTTTTTCTATTCAGATTTCATTAAAAATTATGATGGAGAGGTAAAAATGCACAGTGATTAAATATTTGCATAGTAAACAGGACATAAAAAATGAGTACCTCAGTAATAATCAAATTTAGATGGCAAATCCTAGGTACACCTTTATGATGGGGATATTTCCTCTAACTTAGAATGGCTATGATATCTTTTAAAGACAGATAGAATTGATGCAGGTGAGTCTATGTATTTCTATATAAAACATCTTGAAAAGACATTACTCAAAGGTGAGAAACTTTATTATTGAAACTATTATATATTACTTACCAGGTCCTGAGACCCCATGCACATAACCAAATGTGCTTTCTTTATCTTCATCAGCTATTTTGGGTAGCTTGGAGAAATCCATCATGTTAATTTACCTATGATAAAAAAAATTAAATAGTTGCAAAAAATTAAATAATCACTACTCTAAAGCAAAACAATCAAATACAGGTAATCAACTCTCATCTGTGGCATATTATTCAGTTATGCCCACTTCTTTTTTTTTCTGATTTGTTTGTTTGTTTATTTATTTATTTATTTATACAAGCACTGGGTACAGTCAGAAGCACAGGAGGGTGAGAGAATTCACCAGAGCCAGAGCAGGGAACAGAACAGGCAGACTGACAAAATACACTGCTGAGGGGAGCAGCAGGCATGGCAGAGGTCTGTCACGCCATGTGGGACCCTCGCTAGCGGCCAGGGATCAAACCAGCGCTGCAGAGGCTGCGGGCAGCTTCGCAGCCCAGCGCTCAACTGCTGTGCCACCAGGGGAGGCCCAACCACTTCTATAAAGTAAAATATAAAATTCTTAAAATTTGGTTAAATGGACCTCAGAGCTGGATGCTCTCCAGCATCATATATCCCTAGGTAGAGTATAAATAGAACACACTAAGGAGTCTAATAAACAATGTGAATGAAGTCTCTACAAACCTTGCCCTCCCTGCTTCCTCTCTCTGACCTCCTCCATATTCTCTTCCCCTTAACGTTCTTCATATATATATACTGAACTCGGCTCTGCCATTGCTCAAACACACATACACATTCTGCCTCAGGCTCTGTTTACTTGTAGTTTCCCCTGCCTGGAACTGAATTTATGTTTATTGAGTTCCTACCAAGAAATAGACAGTGTTTAACTTAGGGAATAAAAATTGGGTATTTTAAATAAAATAAAAGCACTTTTACTGGTTTTAAACATTTGTACGGTAAGGCAAAATTACTTAAGTGCTCAAAATGACAACCCATTGGGAGTTGAGGGGAAACTGATGAGGAGTGGACAAAGTGTTAACCAATGTGAATGAAAGTAAGTTTTGAGGCTGGCTGAATTTAATCCATTTCAGTCCAGAAAGAACTACCTCCAAAAAGGGAAACCAAACCCTGAGCCCTGGAAGCAAGGAAACAGGAGTGTTTTCCAGTCTTTCTAGAGGCACTGAAGGATCATTACAGAATCATATACTCCATGGAAAACAAGTTGTTGTCCATTAACTAAGATATCAAAGAATTGGGGCAAGGAGCATAATGATGACATTGCTAAGAGTGCAGTTCTGCTTTGATGTACTGAATGGATTCCTGAACCCAATTCCATTGTAAGTAATAAATATATGGAGGCTACTCCACACCAACAAGTAATTCTCCAGCAGGGTGTCTAACTGGAAAGAACATCAGATTCCACACTTAAAGGGATCAGTGTTCCAAGACTATCACCCACTTTAGAGGCCAGTATTAAGCCCAGACTGCCACCTGTGTTTCTCACTTTTTTTTTTTGGTCACCTGTATTTCTGACTGACTGATTATAAATGGAGATTCCTATAACCTCCTCTTGGTTCTATTAATTTTCTACAATTGCTCACAGAACTCAGAAACATTGCATTTCCTGGATTACTGGTTTATCATAAAGGGATATAACTCAGGACCTCCATGGTGGCACAGGTGGTTGAGCGCAGCACTATGAAGCTGTCCACAGCCTCTGCAGTGTCAGTTCGATCCCTGCTGGCCTCAGAGCAACCCACATGGCGCGGCAGACCTCTCCTGTCTTGCCCACTGCTCCCCTCAGCAGTGTATTTCAGTCTGTGTGTTCTGTTTCCTGCTCTGTCTCTGGTGAATCCTCTCACCCTCCTGCACATCTGGCCTGTACCCCGGTTCTTGTATATATGAAATAAATCTTAAAAAAAAAAAAGATATAACTCAGGAATAGCCAGGTGGAAGAGGTGTCTAGGGCAGGTCTGTGGGAAAGGGTGCAGAGCTCTCAGGCTCACTCCAGTGGAGCCATTCAGCAATTCAGAAACTGTCTTAACTATGTCCTTTTGGATTTTTATGGAAGTGCCCTTAACCAAGGCCATAGATAAAATCATTGGCCTTAGGTGAAACATAGTCCCTCTCCCTTCCCTAGAGGGGTGTGTGGGGGGGGGGGAAGGGGGGGGCTGGGGAGGTGGGATAGGAAAATCCCAATTCTCAAATCACAAGGCTGGTTCTCCAGGCAACCAGCCCCAATCCTTAGGTGCTTCCAAAAGTTACCTCTTTCACATGACAAAGGACACCTTTATCACTATCAACACTGCAAATTCCAAGGGTTTAAGGAACTAAGAGTTTGAAAACTTGGAAAAACAAATATATATGAGAAATATATTTTGGTCTTCTGAGTGACTAGATACATATTTTTCTTATAAATCACAATATTTACATGTACTCAGTACCATCACAAGGGCAATGGTGGAACAAGCTACAGGGAAGAATTAAGTGATTAAAAAAACAGGCAAGAGTGAAAAAAAAAGATTAAAGTCATATGGAGATATGAGACCTTACAAGCGAATAGCATATGATCAAAGGGGCAAGAAAAATACCCAGAACTTAGAAATGATATTAGCGATAAGGTAAAGAATACATCAAGTTGATAGTTTATTAATAAAGATGAAGGTATGGCATAAGTAACTGGAAAAAATGTAATTGAATTAGAAATAAAATCACTCAGTACTGCAGTCACAAATGTTAAAAAAGAAGATAAGTATTCTGATGTTCTCCACAGGGAAATTAAATTGGAAGAAGGAGAAACTGGTTCACCAAGATTTTTAGCTTCCAAAAGATGCACTAGAAGTGGCTGGTGAGTAAACAGGTATGGAACTGCAAAAAATAGAAAATAAAAATGCAAACAAGCTTTTCTAGACATTATTTAGATAATGTAGGGAAAAACAAAATTTACATTTATGTTGGTAGTGGGGAGGGCAAAGTCTTCAAAAAAGTAGTGAACAAGTAAGTAAGGTCAAATATTATTCTTCAGAAAATCAAAAATTTTCAGTCAGAAGAGAACTTGATAATCATAACTAACTTCCCCCTCAAATACCCGCACTTGCTCCTAGCATTTGTGATACATGGTCATCTGCCTCTCAAAGGGGAAACAGCATGAGATCTTGAGTCAGCAGACTTGGGATACATCCTGGTCATACCAGTGACATGCTGGAGGAGTTCTTGAACTATTAAAAATCTCTGAATTTCACTTGAAATACAGGAATAATGCTACCACCTACTCTAGAGTTGTGATTAAATTATGAATTTGTTTAAATGTTCCTTGTGAAATGTAAAATGCTTACAAAAATGTCATCAGTAACAGTACTATTTAAATAGAGCCTCAATTAGGAAAAAGTCATCCCTTTTTTAGAACTCCCCACTTGTATGCAACCTAAATTTACTTCCCCACAACTTCTACTCTCTGGTCCTATTTCTTCCAGTTAGTATAGCCACAAGCAAATTCTCTGCAGTGCTTTTACTGCCCCTCAAAAGATAATCTTTCTCAGATCTTTATTCCCAGGGCTATTCTTTTCTAGAGGTATTTCATATCCATGTTTCTCTTAAAACAGAGCAAACAAAATTAAAAACACAGTATTCTAGGGCCGCCCTGGTGGTGCAGCGGTTGAGCGCTGGGTTGCGAAGCTGCCCGCGGCCTCTGCGGTGCCGGTTCGATCCCTGGCTGCTCCCCAGACATCGGAGGAGGGTCCCACATGGCGCGCAGAACTCTCCTGCCACACCCACTGCTCCCCTCAGCAGTGTACTTTGGTCCTTCTGCCTGCTCTGCTCCCCGCTCTGGCTCTGGTGAATTCTCTCACTCTCCCGCGCTTCTGACTGTACCCAGTGCATGTAAAAAACAAAAAAACAAACAAAAACTAAATAAATAAATAAAATAAATGCCTCTATTAAAAAAAAAAAAAACACAGTATTCTAGATGTTCCATGAGTACTTTAGCATTCTGGATACTCCTTTCTATTGAGACAGAAACCAAGGTTTTTAGTTAGACAGTTTGAATTTCTAAAATTGTGTTCTTGGGCAAATCAAATTCTTTATCCTTTTGAGTCTCAGTTTCATCTATGAAATGCAGTGGGGTAGTACTGAGGCAACTAATAAGCTTAACAGAAAAGCAACATTGGTTAACTACTAATTGTATTCTGCTAATGCAACCTAAGATTTCCTAAGTTTTAAAAAGTACCTAATGTATAATTTCCTGTTACTTGAACCTAATCTAGTTAGAGACTTGGCTGGTTTGTTTTTGTCTTTTTTCCCCTAGCTATTATGTATAGTTTATCATAAGTTTATTTTCTAAAACTAGATTTTTGCTTTTTAAGCATTGGTTATATGCCAGGTGCTGTACCACTGTACCATAGGTAGAAAATATAATGTAGTAAGACACAATCTCTCCTCCAAGGAGTTTCTGACCTGGTGGGATAAAAAGACAAATAAGTGTTTACAATAAAGTGACACATGAGCTCTTCTGGGAACAGTAGCAGCTGATTTTGAAGAGCATAAAGCAAAGGCATCTAACCTAGGCTTGGGCAAGACAGGATGGACTGAGACGAGGCTCAGCTGAGGCTTAAAAGATGAACATGGAGGCATTAAGCATAGAGCAGAGCTCATCAGTACAAATCTCCTGGGATATACAAAGGTGTTTAGAGAATTCATGAGACAATGACAGGGTCTGTTACAAGTTTTAAAATAATTATTTACACACTATCTCTTTAAAACAATGAGAGCCTCTAAATATATGAACAATGAATAGTGGAAATCAAAAGCTTTGTGGATTTATCACTCAGCTGAGTAATCTTAGCCATTGTGGGAACAAACGATTCTATAATTTTTAACCTTTTTTTTTAAAGGCATAAATTCTTTAATTTTTGCCAAAGACAGCCAGGTCTTAGAACTAGTAATATCAAACTAATAAGAAAATGAAATCTAACTGATAATACTACAAATTAACTTGGAGATGCTTTACACCAAATCCACAAATCTGCATTCCTTTGCTCTGATTAATAATCTTATATAGCAAATCAAGACAATCCTACTTTTTAAAAATCCAATGTGAAGAGGAGAAAAATATGATGATTATGAGTAATTTAGC